TTCCACACACATGGTAGGATTGTCCCTCTAGTGCCTCTCTTGGACTGTATAACTAACTCTGGCCAATAAGTTGTAAGTAGAAGTGACCATTGTTACAGGTAGGCACATAAAACACAGATGCAAAACCTACCAGGGCCTTCTTTCTCTCTGACACGACAACTGACAAGTGTTCTGGATGAAGGTCTTGCCCCCAGCTTTGGTCTCAGAGTAGAGCTGCTGATGGAGAAGCCCCAGTCAACATTTGATACCCTATAGCTTGAGCAAGAAACATTCTTCTGTGGTTGAGCCACTGGAAGGAGGGTCACTCTTTATGGCAGCCTAACCTAATCTACCCTGATTGATTTAGAATTTTTGCACAGGGCCCCTCTTTGAAATGTGGGGGCACTTGCACTAATTTCTTTTTTTCTTCTCTTACAGTTGAGGTCTTTGCTGAAACTGAGGCAAAGAGTCCCACTGAACTTTCTGCAAGTACTCATCATTGTAGTTGACAACACAGCACCAACTTGGAGGTATAGTGTCTGGCTCCCAATCCTGAGCACACCGTTTACTGTTTCTGTGTCCTTAGGCAAGTTGCTTGACCACTCTGTACTTCAGGGTTCTCATCTGCAAAACATCTCATAGGTTGTTATGAGGACAATTATAGTTAATATTTTTAAAGAGGTTAGATTAGTGCCTGCCACATAGCAAATTCTACATGCGTGCTTCTTAATAAATGGGATACTCCACTGAACTCCACATCTCTTCATTACTAGCCAGGTGCCATGAAATATCTCTAGCTTGATGCTCTTTTTTGCTCTGCTCACTGCTTTGCTGAGGTGCCAAAATTTGTCCCTGTCTGTCTATCTGTGCTGAAAGGCCACATCCTGGAGTCAAGACATTCACCACTACTTGCAGAAAGTTCTTAATTTCTATATGCAAAAATTGCTCACATTTCCAATGTCAAATATTTCTCAGTTCTCATCAAATCAATTTCTATAACTCTGGCCGTTCTGATTTCTATTTAGACAGATCTGCATGATGCAGAGTATAGGGAGCTTTCTTGCAGTATGCTCTGAAAAATACCAGAGGCAGCTACCTTATTATGAGAATTGAACCCAATTTTAATTTAGTGTTACTGTATTATGATCCACTCTAGCTTTGAGCATATTAGAGGATAAATTGCTCTAGAATTTGGGAGGTGGAGGTGGTGTTAAAATAGGTTTCTCAATTGTTTTGACAGTCTGAATAAAGTTTTCTTATTTTACTTTATTGAAATTATTGAAGTTATTGGAAGATCAACTCTCTGTACATTGCTATCAAACATAAGCTCTTGCTGCATCTAACTAGTGCCGTTCCCATCTAACCATCTGATGGCTAATAACGTGTAGGTGAGGTAGGTATGGCTCTAGGATTCTGGGATTTATTAAATGTCATGGGAGCTAGCAGGAAATGAACTAGTAGAAAAATGGCCAGTCTCTTCTTGAGCATGATGCTCTGCTTTGGATACAGCATGTTACTTGTTTTTTATACATTTCACAATTCCACTTGTATTACAATGACTATCAGTGTCTCATAATTAGAACCCATATTATAATTGACAAAACTATAGGTAGTTTTTCAGTAATTTAAGAGAATTTTTTTCCAGGAATTGTTAAAATATTCTCTTTCTCCACTTTTTATGTAGGAACTTATAGAAATGTTTCTATGATATCTAAAGTAACCTTGGAATGAATGTACTCTTTTAGAGTATATATTCTCCTTGAACATTTATTAGGACTCTAACATTTTATTCTGCTGTAAATTTTAGTTGCTATCCTATTCTTTACAACCAAATTTCAAGGTTTAATGTCAATTCCTAATTTGACTTTAAACTTGGCAAGTTTTTGAGTGCATGTGGTCTAATATGAGCTTCAATTGCCCTCATTAATCTCTCCTGCTTTGTTGAATTCCTTTGGAAGCAGCAAAGGCAGCAAGAGGTGTGTCAACATCAGTTGTGATTGTTGTTTGTAGGAAGGAGATGTGCTCAGATTGTTGCTGAAAGCAAGCTCTATACAGCCTTTAGGTAAGAAACAGCACAGAAAAATCCATATGTAGGAGGTAAATCTCAAACAGGAGTTAAAGTCATTGCTTTGTATGTTTTCTGAATACAATAGTTCGTTTTATCTAGTATTATCATGTACAATACAATCAAAGTAAAGGTAAGTGATAGAGCTGTGTTTTATGAAAATATTTCAGCACTTTGGATTCTCAAATCTAAAACTCAGGCTTCTAGAAGTAAGATCCCTTGTCTGCTTTTGTTCATATGCCTGAAGTTCACAATACGTCAGAATCATATAAATTGTACCTGGAATTTCCTTTAGAAATAATTTTACATTTTAACCGTGACTAGAATAAAGACCTGGCATTCCATATAGAAATTACTCCAAATGCCATATTTATCTTACATAAAATCAATCTTTATACTATATAGCAAATATTAATCTATTAAACAAGGACCAACAATAACTAACCACAAACCTTATTCTAATGTGAGACTGCATTATAGTTTATGATACAAAATTCTTATTTTATCCTTTCATAAATCTTGCCTTATATTTAACACAGTAAATCAAAAGGATTTTTTAAATCAGAATTAAGGAATTCAGAACTCAATTTTTTGGGGGTAGAGTTTGATAAATATCTTTGGGGGAAATTGGGCAGAATTAAGAACATTCCAACCTTTATAGGTCTGATGCAATTCCTTTTCTGAGTTATTATAAATGTATCTTTAGAAACCAATGTCTTTCCAGGAGACCTTCAATTTCATCTGTCACCATCTCCCATGCTCCTTAGCTTCATTTCCTACTTGTCTCAATATTATATCTAAAATTTATTGAGATTTAATTTCATGCAGATAATCTGCTAAGTGACTTGTTGCTGACCCTAAGCCAACTGTAATCATCATTCTTTTACCAATGAGGACAGTGATCTTTGATAAGCTAAGCAACTTCCATAAGTCTTAAAACCTGATATTCAAGAGCAGATACACCTGTTGCCGAAGTCTAGGCTTTCACTGCTCTACAATCCTACCTGCTAAAGTTTCAGTCTTATTTTAATACATTATTTGCATAATATCTGAGAACTGAGAACTGTCCAAATAAAACAACTTGTACACCTTCACATGCTTTAAACTATATGTTACGTTTTCTAAATTTATGAAATTAATGAAATCTGTTGTCTTTCACTAGTTTATTTTATACACTCTTCCCTCCTAGCATGATTTGGTTCTTCTCAAGTCTTACAAGACTGTGTCATGTAAACCTCATAAACTAATTTTTTTTTTGTTACCCACAGGTTTTGGTGAAACCATTTGTCAGTTCCAGCCCAGTTGCCCAGCTCTACTGCAGACAGTTGAGTTTCAGGCACTTTGGGCCCAGAGCAAATCAATCACAGACAGAGAAGTCACAACCTCCCAGGCTTGTGTAAGGGCAGCTTACTGTTACCTCTTAGCTGAATCTCAGAGAAGACGTCCTGCTTGTGAGTCGCATTACCCCACAGTCTGAGCAAAGATTCTTTACACTCACCTATGAGGTGATTATTATTTCTATCCCCAATTTTTTTTTAAAGATTTTATTTATTTATTTGAGAGAGAGAGAATGAGAAACAGAGAGCATGAGAGGGAGGAGGGTCAGAGGGAGAAGCAGACTCCCTGCCGAGCAGGGAGCCCGATGCGGGACTCGATCCTGGGACTCCAGGATCATGACCTGAGCCGAAGGCAGTCGCTTAACCAACTGAGCCACCCAGGCGCCCCTATCCCCAATTTTTTACGTGAAGATATTCAGGCTTAGAAAAGTCATGCATGGGCGCCTGGGTGGCTCAGTTGGTTAAGCGACTGCCTTCGGCTCAGGTCATGATCCTGGAGTCCCGGGATCGAGTCCCACATCAGGCTCCCTGCTCAGCGGGGAGTCTGCTTCTCCCTCTGCCCTTCCCCCCTCTCATGCTCTCTCTCTCTAATAAATAAATAAATAAATCTTAAAAAAAAATTAGAAAAGTCATGCAGCTAATGTAGTAGGGTCACTTAGGTGGTACATGTCAGAGCTGAATTCCAGATCAGTTGTTTCTCAATTTGAATACACTGCAAAGAGCTCCATATGCTGCAGAAGACATGTTAAAACAGGGAGCAATTCAAGATCTGGAGAACATATGAGGGGGCCTGAAGCAGTAACCTTGCTCTCCCAGGACGGACCACCAAACCTATGAAGAGGGGATGGATAATCAAAACAAACTTCTGTCCACATCTGAGAAACTGCATGCTTACATTGACTATATGCATGGCTCATATGTAGCTTATATTTACGTTAATGCAGTGACTCATTAGAGCCCTCTTATGGTTAAACTGCAATAAAGGACTGTAAGGATAATAACGATATTATTAATTATTCATGTGGAAAATGAAAAGGCTGAGTCGAATGCAATTATATATGGAAACAAATGATTTCGAAAAAGTGTGGAACTATCTTTTTAAAACTTAAAATCCAAGCAGTGTTTGCCTTTGCCATTACATATATGAGTTTCTATTTGTTTATTTATAAAATAGCTATTCATGTGAAATCTACATCCTGTGGAGTGACTGCAGGTGCTTAATTGCTTGCCCGTAAGCAAACCATTACTGCAACTAAAACTCTATTACAGTATGCAGAGAAAATGCTATGAGTAGAAATAGCTTTTAAGTAAAGTTTTACACTCTATTTTGCAACCAATTCCCCCTCCATTTTAAATTAATTTATTTCTTTTAATGCTGCTTTTTTCTCAAAGAACCAGGAGACATTGGAAAGTCCAGTTATTGTACTTTACTTATCATGCCTGGTTAAAAGTCAGAAGAAAGGAAAGCTGCTTTGCATCTCCCACTTTTCATATGCAGGAAAACAGAATGAACTTACTAATACACAAGCAGATTGTGAGCATGAATCAAGTGTATGTTAATTAATTATTAGGTGATGCTTGGGGTGGTAATATAGTACTTTTTGAAATATCTATATCTTGTACTAACTTCAGCAGCACATATACTAATTGGAATGATACGAGAAGATTTGCATGGCTCCTGGGCAAGGATGACATGCAAATTCGTGAAATATCTATCCTTTTGGTGCTTAACTCATCATATCCCTTTTCTATTCAAACTAGTAAACTGCTATCACTTCCTTGGGTTCACTTGTCAAGTATTCAGGTTTCAGTCTCTTTCTCTATCTTGGCACAGATAACAGAGGTCAACCACTTTATGATAATTATCTGAAATAGATTACATATATATACATATATATATATTTCGTATCTTGAGTTTTTAAATTGATGGCAATAAAAATAAAGAGGGAGAAAAGAAGAAGAGGCACTAGGAGGAAGTATCTCAAATTGTTTTTCTTTTCTAAGGAATCCACAGCCACAACCTCCCACCAAAGGATTTATAAAAATGATTCTTTACTTGTCTGCTTATCTATTTTTTTATTTGTTTGTTTGTTTGTTGATTTTCCTTTATGAGGCAAAGGGGATTGTGAACATTCTCAGGCTAAACATAGTGTCCAAGGCACTAAATTTAGGTTTCTCACTTTCCTTTCTTTCCACCAAAGATCTTTTAACGAGACATGGTCTGAAAAATCTTAGTGAAAGAGAAGTTTGGCAGTGTGATTTAGCTTTCCTAAGGGATTCAATTTAAAAAAAAAAAAATATGGACAACAAGAAATGACTGGCTAATGTACCTAAAGAGACAAGTGTTTGGAGTGGGAATTGTTACTTGACCATCATCCTCTCTCCACTGTTGTGCCTCATCTGCCATTTCTGGCAAAGTCTCTGGCAGCTACTGGTATTACTGGAGACTCCATCAACTCCCATGGTGCCCTGTGAGGTCCCTGAGCACCTTCCATTGGAGCTCTCAGTCCCGCCAACCCTCTCTCGGATCCACTGAACTGTATTATTTCTCCACCTCCAGCCAAAACCCTTGGTAGTCTATAACTTAAACTTACAAAAAAGAAATGATGAAAACAGATAACAGATATAAGTAATAAGTAATAAAAACTAAATTGCACATAGAATTTTGGAAAAGGTCTGGCCTTCATGGTAATGCAAGAAATAAAATAAAGACAATAAAAATAAACAATATTTTACAGTTTTTTTAATATCAGTTTTTATGTTAATAAGAAACTATCCTGATAATCTGATGATGCTATAACTATTTTGATGGCAATGGGAACTGGTATAATCTTTTGATAGCCCAGTGTTCAGATCTTCTGATACAGGAATCCCAGTCTCAAAAACTCATAGAAAGAAAAAAAGGCTAACATTCATTCATCATTATCTGTAATAAAAAAAGGGGGAAAAAAAGAAAAGGAAAGGATCTACAATGACAAAGTCTTACCTAATTTTTGAAGCACCATCTTGATTAGATATTATATACTTTACAATATAAAAAAAGTTAATTTAGAGTCACAGTTTCAAAGATCAGTTTAAATACCTATCTGATAGGCAGTATGCCAAATACATTCACATTTATATTGCCATGTAATTCTTAAAATAATCATATAAAGTAAAAATTTTCCAAAACTAAAACATGCACTAAATTTTATTGTAAACTATAACAAGTAAGTATATACTGTTTGAAAAAAAAGGAATGAAAAGCCATCTAGATAAATAAAAATAACTTTGCTATGTGTGATATTAAGAATGTGATTTTTTTCTCTCAAAATTCCCTTTAATATTCTTGTAATCTTATTTTTACAGTATGAGGAAAAAATAAGCCTAGAGAAATACAAACCCGGTAAAAATACTGTTCTTATAAGAAGGTTATCAGACAAGTGTGGGTAATGACAGCAGAAACAGATGCTTATATAATAAATAATTAAAAAAAAGAAAAAATATACTTCTGTTTTAAAGAAAACAACATAGCTCAGCTAGAGAATCATCTTATACAATGTAGACAAATATAAATGGTTCATTTATTTATTTATTTATTTTCTGCAACCTGGTTGGGTGTGAGAACTTGATGCTTTCTTTGCATTAATTGAAACCATCAGTTTTAAAAAAAATAGATCTGGAGTTTTTTGGAAGTAGTCAATTAATTACCTGAAAAAAATCTGAAATAATTCACCAATAACAAACATATCTCCCACTCAAGTTATTTACTAAAGTTTTTTTAGTAAGATGTTACCCAAAGTTAAGTTCTAGTCTAAGCTTCTGGGTTGAATGGAAACAGGAACACTTACCTTTTGAAATTCAGGAGAACATCCCTTTTTAGCATAGGATGTGACTTCAGTTTTTGAATGCAGCATCTTCGTTCTCATTTGGACCCTAAACAAGGCCAAACACCATGTTATATGTGGAAACCTGGTGTGGCAATTGCCAAAGTAGAAATCAGCTAAGAAAGTCATTTGAGAAGAATGTCAGATATTAGAAAATCAGAACCACCCTCTACTCAATGAAGAATAAATAAAAATGAAAGACCGTTTTTACAGGTTGTTCAGTTACAGCTGATGTTGGTAGAAAAGGCAAATATTAACTGGTAAGTTGATATTAGGGCATTATCTATTCTTGACAACTCTCTTAAAAACAGAATCCTTTGACAAAGAAATTTGAGAACAGTCTTTTCCTATGCAGCAAATAGAATCAGAAAGCACTAGAATCAGAGAAGGTTATAAAGATTGTTGAGTGGGCAGTTCAGACGGAAATTTGTATTTTTGGAAGAGGAGAACATATCGGTTAGTAGAAATAGCAAGAGCCCAAAACATTACCAGCGTGAACAGAGGTCACTCAGACCTAGAGAGGCAGACAAAATAAAAGGGAGCCCCAAAATGTTTACATTCTTACGATGACACATGTAAGGACAACTAAAAGCAGAGGTGAATTTTGACATAATGGAACAAAAGCTTCATTAGAGATTAAACTGCACATTCTCTACTCCCAGTTGCTCTGGTAATGAGGTTGCTTCCAATATGCCAATGACTTTAAAATGAGAAATACTATAGTGAGATGAAGTAAACAGTAATTGGAAACAGAGCCACGTGAGCTCCACGGAGATTCTTTCTGAAAGAAATTTGGGGAAACTTTAGAGGGGTTTGCCTTATAAGAGTGTGAGATCATGGATAAAGGCTTAACCGTTATTATAAGGTTGTTTCTGGGTTCAGCCATTTCCCACCTAACCCTAAGTCTATGCAATTAATAAATCTTGTGGGTAAGACTTTCCCATATTGTCTCACTTAGTTTATTTTTGGATATTACCACCTGGAAGCAATGGTGGAAAGTGATAGACCTGACAGATTTAGCAAACAAAGCACACAAACAGAAAATAGGACAAATATGTTCCACACAATATTTGGATAAACAATGAAAAAAAATATACATCCTAAATACAGTGTGGAACATATTTATACTGAAAGAATTCATTGTTTATCTGAAATTCAAATTAAACTGGGTGTACTCTATTTTTGTCTGCCAACCCTGTAAAGGAGAAATGTATAGATGGTGTTGGAGCCTGGGGTAACCTAGGCATCCAGCTTGCTCTTGCAATAGCTGGGGGTTCAAATATTCTGGTGTTCACCCACCTGGAGCAAAATTAACAGAGGTCATCTGCTAGATAGCACTCAAATTTTAACAGAACCAGAAAAATCTCCAAGGTACCGCTTATGAAAGACCTCTCTTTCATAGATTCTGACTTGGTGAGTCTGGGGTAAGTCTCAGTAACTGTATTTTGACAAGTACTTCAAGTAGATCTATTATAGATCATTTCAGGCTACATTTTGAGAAAAAAAAATCTAGTCCAACCTTCCTTTTTTTTTAAATATAAGATAAATGCCCAAAGATATAAAATAATATTATAATTTATCAATACTTATTGTACTATAAATCAAAACAGAGAAAAATAACTCTTTTGAAATAACAATAACACCATTGATGTAAGAATAAAAACACACTTATAAAAATAATTACATTTTCCAAAATAAAAAAAATAATTTAGTGAGAAGAATTGCTATATAGTTTTTCTTTACATTAGTGTAAATTTCTTCAATATGTGTTTTAATAAGACAACTGGATTGTCATATCTTCTGCATTTGCTGCTTTAATATTTTGTTTTGGTTGAGGTATGTGAAGAAAATTTGGCATCCCATGGATATGTAGTTAAAAAACAAAGGAAACACATTTTAAAAGCCTTTTAACTTAATAGTGAATATTCCTTTTAAGAATATTAAGGGGCAGCAACATTCATATTAGCTCTAAAATGACTGTTTTACAATGTTTTCCAACAATCAATCTCTTAATGTAAAATGTGGAAAATGTTAAACAACACAATATTATTTTATAAGCCTTTGCCTAGAAATCAAAAAGAATCAAATGTATAAATGTTTAAGGGGAACATTTTAACAAAATAGCAACATTAGGTTTTATGAGACAAATATAACTAGCCTGTGAATGAAATATGAATATATATGTGTATACATGTGTACATGTGGTGTATATGTGTATACATATTCATTGTGTGTGTATGTGTGTATACAGAAGATGAAACAAGTTGTTTTCTGTTTTATTCCAGCAACCAGAAAGTAGTCTCAGACTAGGTTCTTCCTAGATACAAGATAATCAACTTGGTGAATTTACAAGAAAATAGTAATTTTTAAAATATTTTATTTTATATCATAATTCTTAAAGTGCCTCAAATATGCTCTAAATATGATGGTTCTGTTCTAACTCATTTTTTTTAAAGATTTTATTTATTTATTTGACAGAGAGAGACACAGCGAGAGAGGGAACACAAGCAGGGGGAGTGGGACAGGGAGAAGCAGGCTTCCCACCGAGCAGGGAACCCGATGTGGGGCTCGATCCCAGGACCCTGGGATCATGACCTGAGCCGAAGGCAGACGCTTAACGACTGAGCCACCCAGGCGCCCCTGTTCTAACTCATTTTTTAAGGAAAAAAAAAATAAAGAATCCAGATGTTGAAAGTATACAGAAAATAATACTTGTGGAAGAGCTGATTTTTTCAGATCTATTACCCTATGGCTCCCAAAACCTGTGAACCAATACACGTCTCCTTTCTGTCTTGGGAGAAATAAGGCGGAGAGAGAAGAAGAAGGAGGAGAAGGGGAAGGATGAAGAGGAGGAGGG